TGGGGGTTAGGTGGTCTCTGCCCTATGGGGGTTAGGTGGTCTCTGCTCTATGGGGTTAGGTGGTCTCTGTTCTATGGGAGTAGGTGGTCTCTGCCCTATGGGGGTTAGGTGGTCTCTGCTCTATGGGGGCTAGGTGGTCTCTGCTCTATGGGGTTAGGTGGTCTCTGTTCTATGGGAGTAGGTGGTCTCTGCCCTATGTGGGTTAGGTAGTCTCTGCCCTATGGGAGTAGGTGGTCTCTGTTCTATGGGAGTAGGTGGTCTCTGCTCTATTGGGGTAGGTGGCCTCCACTAGATCCTTAGGAGGGAGTTATCAGGAAGATGGGGAAACAGGCACAGGGAGGAAGAGCAGAGTGGCAAAAGTGCCCGCCCGGTTGGGACAGAGCCCGTGGCAGCAGGGCCCATCCAGGCCCGGTCCCTGGGCTCATTCTCAGCTGATTCGAAGTGACGTGCTGGTGACACAGCCTGGGGCTCTATTCGCCTTGGCTGAAGACCCCTGGGGGGGACTGGCCGCATGCCTCCCAGTCTCGGAGGCACGGCCTCCTCTGCTCGCGGGACGTGTGGTCAGGGACAGAGTAGAGCCCTGACAGGAGTGGAGACAGATGGGGCAGAGCTACATACGCTCCAAAACCCAGACCTCCCTGGGCCACCGAGACAGGAGAAGCCAGACTAGCGCCCTGAGACACAAGCTAAGCCTTGACACCACTCTCCCCTCACGTCACCCCATAACAAGCCCCACAAGCAGCCTGGCACCTTGCAGGCCCGCCCGTTGAAGTTTCATCTTCCCAAGACCCACATGGCCCCAGGCACGTCCCCAAGCCCCAGGGGAAGGCTGGGGGCTGGGAGACCCCGTGACGAGACCAGAAGAGGAGTGGAAATAGGGAGGAAGTTGGCAGGCTGTGGAGGATGTCACCAGGGTCCCCACACATGATGTGCAGGGACCAGGGACAGCTGAATGGGAGCATGCTGAGCTACGCGTACTCTCACCACAACAATGACAAAACAGGTACTTTTAAAGTGGGGACTGAGGGGCATGGCAGTGGGCCAGGCCAGGCCAGGGGGCTGGGAAGGCCTCCCATGCTGAGCTTCTTCTACAAGACACAGAAGCTCATGGGCCCAAGTGCACCGTCCGCTCTGAGCTCCGAGTTCCTGCCGCTGCGTGCACACAGACGCTCCGGGCTCCTGCCGCTGCGTGCACACAGAC